GGGCGGGCTCGCGCTAGAGGGCCCCGCCCCGCCCCGCCCGCGCCGCGCGCCCGGGCAGCCCACGGCGTCCCGGCCAATAGGGAAGCGCGGCCGCAGCCTCTGCCCTGACCCTGGCCCGCCCCACTGCCCCCGCGCTCCGCTCGGCTGCGGCCCGCCCGCCCCGCTTCCGCCCTCTGCGGTTCCAGAAGTTGTTTATGAGGTCTGCGGGGTGGCGGGGAGCTAGGAGGGATTCCGCACTGGGGAGGCGCACCTTAAGTGGGGCTAGGCGGCAGCGAGGAGTCGGTCTCCGGGAGTGCTGCAGGAGCGGGAGTGCTCCCGTGCGCTGACGTCCTCCCACCTCTGCCCTGGGATCAGGGCACAACCGCGAGCGCCGAGGGTCCCGCGCTTCGCAGAGCCGCTCGGCGGTGCCGCGCTCCCGCGTCCTTCGCCCCGCTGCGTGTCCCCCTGGGCCCGGTGACGGTAATTCCAAGGGCCCCAGCGCTGCGCTCTCGGCCTGGGCAATGCGCTTTTTCTTCCGGCAGAACGCAGCTGGCTTTGCCATCCGGAAAGAGAGAGGCTGGGAGACCGAGCCCCTGCGCCATTGGGTCCGCGGGAAACAGTGCAGTGAAATTGAGCTAGTGCTGTCTCTGCTCTTCTCTTCCTTTAGCTGGCACGTCGGTTGCTTACGGGGTTGTGCTGAGCTAGCGGGGATGCGGGAGAGGAGGTCCTTCCAGCAGTCTGGTTTGCCGCATCCCGCTACCAACACCTGGCCACCACCGCGCGTGTCCGGGCCGGTTCAGAACTGGAGAAGGCAGTCTGGCCTTACAATGTGATCTTGGGATAAAAGTTGACAGCGTGTCCTCAAATCGCAGAATTTCAGGGCTGCCCAGTGTATTTCTACGGTCCGACTGAAGCCCTGGTAAGGGACTGCAGGTGCTGGGTGTGGGGAGATCGTAGAGATCCAGGGGCAGGCCGTTAGAGCCCAGGGGTTTTTCCAGCTGCTAATCTTTAAGCGCTGTCATGGACCCGCGCCCGCTAGGGAGCCTCTGCTCTGCTCGCTGAGCTGCTCTCCCAAGAATCCCACCCTATTCCCTACCTACATGGCGCCGATCCAGCAGGGATATTTCTGGAAGGGACCGGGGGCTCTTAATCTTTGAAGCTCATTTGAGAAGGTCCCTGCAGCCTTCACAGGTATGAGTTGAAGAGAAGAGAAAGCATGGGTGGCACCCTGAGACCCTAAGCCTTGCTGTTCCTTTTCCCCTCTTAGTTTCCCCACATTTTATATAAAAATAATCTGCGTAATGAGCCTTCAGGACTGTTACACTAAGTGAAATAAGCCAGAGTCACAAAAACACAAACACCGTGTGATTCCACTCTTCAAGTTTCTAAACTAGTCAGATTCATAGAAAACAAACCAAAAAACTAGCAGGGGGTGGGGTGAGGGATTCGTGTTTAATAGGCATAGAGTTTGTGTTCTGCAAGATGAGAAAGTTCTAGACAATGCACAATGTGAACATATTTAACAATACTGAGCTGTACACTTAAAAATGGTCAAGGTGGTAAATTTATGCTTTTTTTTAACCATAATACAAAAATAAATGTCAAGAAAATGTAATATACATAAGAAGAATTTTTTTGGTATAAGCCTGTGTCACCACCAAAATACAAAATAAACATGTGTTTTTCCCTTGCATCCTGTAAGAGGGGTGGAGATATTTTTCAGGAGTTTTTGGAAGGCATTGGAAAGCAGAATAAGGATAGGCGAAAAAAGCAGCGGAGAACTGAGGAACCAGGCACATTTTCTCATTTTCCTAGGGTGGCTGAGCACTGTGCACACAGACTTTGAAACCAAATATCAGGCCTGACAGTTAAGAAATTCAAACAAAAATTGCAAATCCCTCTAGGGAACCACTTCTTGGTGCTGGTGGGTTTCAGGAATGAGTTGATTTTGTATTGGGCTTCTCCAGCCAGCCAATCCTAATGGACACATTTACTTGTCTTAATGCAGAATTCAAATTTGTGAGACACAGTTCTCTATTAATTAGCAATAAGCTTACTCACCTCCCTTGGGACTGGAGTGGGAGAAGAAACAGGTGCTTTGATGGCTTTCAGGTGCTGAAAGCCATGCACTGCCAGAGCAAGGAGAAACCTCTGAGTCCTCAGCTGTGCTTGCCAGTCACAAAGCAACACCTCCAAACCAAACAGAACATTTCAGCAAGGTTGAGCTTATGAAATTAACTTCTTAGGTGTTAAACAAAAAAAAAAGTGGAAAGGTAAAGTGTCAGAGTCAAAAACACATCCACCCTATTAACATAGATCCTTCTCATGGCCAGCCTGCCCGTGTTTCTAATTGGGACTTTTGCCCTCTAAGCGAAAGGTCCCAAGCTAAAGTAAACAACCACGCAGATTTTGTGGAAATCCCAGTGAGTAACTTTGAAGAATCTGGGATTTTGGCAGTGAGAGTTTCGCTAAAAGCCTATATAATTCTCAGAAGGATTGGAGCCAGCAGAGCTGAGGGGCCCAATGACCTCTTAAGATTTCTTCTAGGATTCAGTTCAACAACCTTTGCAGGAAGGAGCTAAGAGTGTAAACCAGATGCAGGCTTGTGGCTAGAGTGTCCCATTTTACTTTTTAAAGCCCATGGAGAACTAAAGGAGAAAAGCTTTAAAAGATGATGGCAGGGAGAGATGGATCCCAGGATTTAGTATCTCTAGAGACCTTGGTGTTTTGGCCACAGAGGGCAGCAGAGGGCACTGCTAGGCAAAGCACCCAAGCTGCTTAAAATGGAAGCAAACTGCCCATCTCCCAGCAAATCTTCCTACCTTCTCCCAACTATAGATCGAACTGCTTGGTGACAAAGGCTGCGGCAGCAGGGAAACACCCATCTTGTTTTAACAAGGAACAAGACCGGGTCTCTAGCTTCCTCTCCTCTACAGAGCACACCCCTAGGAGGATGGGATAGACACAATGAGTTAAGTTACAAACTTGATAGATAGCAGGCACCCGGGATGCAGTGTGCAGATGGAAGAAGTAAGACCCCAGTAATCCGTTAAAGTAACAGTATGGTCCAGGATGTGGTTGGAAATTATGTTGGAATGGTAGGATCTCCCAGGAGAAGAGATATTGGAAGGCTGGGCTATTTCCTTAGTATTTTACAACTTTCAGTGCATTATCATATATCAGGGCTGAAACTCAGGTGAGGCAAGAGAGGCTCTCAGAGTCATGCAAGACCCCGCACTAGTCTTGGTGCTACCAGGTATGTTATCTCAAGGATTACCCATCCGGCCCTCATCTGGCCAATTAGTTGTTTGGGGGGGTGGGAGAGCCTGCAGGCTTGGGAGCAGAGATGGGAGGAAGGGCAATCACAGAGGCCACGGTTCTTTCTCTGTTGAAATAACACTTGAAATAACAAGTAACACTTGCATGTTACTCCCTCCAAACAAACCAACTCTTTTTTTTTTTTTTTTTTTTTTTTTGTGGTACGCGGGCTTCTCACTGTTGTGGCCTCTCCCGCTGCGGAGCACAGGCTCCAGACACGCAGGCTCAGCGGCCATGGCTCACGAGCCCAGCCGCTCCGCGGCATGTGGGGTCTTCCCGGACCGGGGCACGAACCCGTGTCCCCTGCATCAGCAGGCGGACTCTCAACCACTGCGCCACCAGGGAAGTCCCAAACCAACTCTTAAGTTGTGACTTTACAAAAATCTATCCTCACACTTCCCGTCACTGAACTCCAGCACCAGAAAACTATACCCTACCCCTCCCGTGTCTGGCTTCAGGCGAAAGCTATGGGATAGTTCAAACAGACATATGCCATATCTAATATTAAATGTTGTGACTTTTGACACCCCCAATCCAGAATCTGTCATCTTTCAAAAAGAGTTCTGTGATTTTTATGGAGGAAAGGGTCAAGCTTTTTTTCCTACTTGAATTCCTAAGTGCTTATTGATAAGAAGGAT